CAGCTCAGACTGATCAACAGAACATTCATATGCACTAGAAGGCATAGGCCTACCCCTTCCAAATGACATGTAATGTTGGCCCCTCCCCAAACTAAAAGTAACCCTGCGGTCCACTTCATCACCCTTAGAAGGTACGTCAGTGTCAGACATTTCATCAAACAGTAACAGAGAAACACTATTAAAAAGAACAATGCATCAGTCAGCAAAAAAACTTATCTACAGGCAAAGGATAATAAACAGACTGGTTTCTTGTCTTCAATTTTTTTTTTGTTTTATTCGTACGATTATGTACTATTTCAAAATTATGTTTATTTTCCCAAAACAATAAAACAAATTGACAAAATTAAAAATATATCGTTTTTCACTTATTTCCCTTGTATAAAACAAGGTACACAGAACAGAGCAACAGAAACTTCACTTTGTTGCCAGGATACAGCAAACCAGCGCCTGCCAGTCAAAGCGCAGGGCAAAGGCGCGCGGCGCAGCGAAGGCGGAGCCCAGACCTCAAAGGCGGGAAAGGCGCAGCGGAGCAGCAGCTTCAGCAGCGGAGATTCGACGGTAAAGCAGGTCAAACGGCACCAAGTGTAACCGGATCCTTTTCTGCGTTGTGCTGGTTATTGAGTGAACAGGCCGTGACACAGTTTGTCTTTTAAAAGATGATTCTCGGTTTATTTCTGTCAAGAATACAAACAAAACAACCGTGTTAAAGGCTGCCCGCTCCAAGTCCTCTCCCGCAGGACAACATGACAAAAGGGGCGGGGAAACACCTCTCACAACTTACAAAAAAACTAAATAAACATTTTTGTACAACATACCTGTCAAGAATACAAACAAAACAACCGTGTTAAAGGCTGCCCGCTCCAAGTCCTACACAAAACAAAAGTATATAACAAAAATTAACTTAATAGATCTATAAATAAACTGAATGTATTTAGATGGAAAAATAAAACGCACACACCTCTCCCGCAGGACAACATGACAAAAGGGGAGGGGCTAAGGGGCACAAACAATTTAAAGACAATACCACAGAAGAAGAAATAAAAGGGAGGGGCTTCAATCTTAAAGTAACACGGTTAAAACAATGACAGGTGTTTCAGTAAGATAAGAAACAAGACAAAAAAAAAAAGACATTTTGTGTAATTATAACAAAAGAGAATTACAACCAGGTTACATGAGCGCAAGGAGAAGTTTTGAGTACAAGCATTACAAGTTTTGAGAAGAAAGAC